ACTTACTGTTTTACAATAATCCCCCGTTCTGTAAACAAAGGACTTCATTCGACCCTCAAGTTTCTTAATTAATATAGTATACTTAATAAAGCGCCACCTGCGTGCACCTTATATATTAAGGTAAATTCAAAAAAAAAAAATTACATAAATTTCAATATATGTATTCCTGAAGAATTTAGCATCTTGTTGTTAAAAAGATACGCGCAAACTAAATGTAAAGTACAATCCAAGTTTTTATAATTTGGATACAGCATTAATTTAGATGTTATTTATATGATCAAAAATAAAATAAACCAAAACAAAATGGATTACTAAAGATAAGTGTCTCTTATGATGGCCAGAATTACTAAAGATACTGTCAAATTCTTCAGGTATGCATTTACAAAGTAAGTACAATTATATTGGTAAGATTTATAATTTGGAATCGATTCCCAAAATAAAATTATTCGGGTACTCTACGTAACAATCAAACCTGCTTTTTTCCGAATTTCTTTTATCACGTTATACCGATACGATATTAATTTTGGGCTACGCCGGCTGGTGTAGAGGGCGAAAAGAAATTTGTGATCCGAGGATAGGCCGGAACGAAAGAGGGCGTGGAAGATTTGGTTGGAGTTTATCTTGGTCAAGGTCAGTTTGATATCGGGGGTTATTGGACAACGAATATTGGGATTGGAGATTTTTGGTTAATTCTCAAGAACTGAGATTATTTTATTGAATTCTCAGTGAGCTGAGTTCCATTTATTGAAAGTAAAGTAAAGTAGAATCGCTTTTATACTTTCTACATTACTAATAAATACAGGTTTCGAAATATCCGATTTATCTAATATATCTAATTTATCAAATAAATTAGATATATCGAATTTATCAAATTTATTTGATATATCTTATACGTTAGATATATCTGACATTAAGGTTGCCGGCCGTAAGTAATAATTACAGACATTATGAATTACAACCTGGGTTTCAAGCCTAATTACAACTAATACTCAAAGTTGTAAATATGCCGTAATGGTTATAACTGTCGTAATGCCGTAATAATTGTAATTGTCATAATCGTTGTAATTATCGTAAAAATATAAGTAATGTGTCTTGCACGCCCTTACAGACGTGTAATAGCTTTCCAAATTTAATGATAGATAAGTAGTACATGAGAACGAAAATCGACTCTTATACTTTAAAATTTTTTAAATTAATAATCTTCAAATGTTTGCATTTAAATGCCACCTGGAGTTTGGGTTTTCAAGTTTATAACTTAATGACTCAGTTCCTAAAAATCTAAATACATAACCAAATTTAATTATTACATTCTATATCAACGATCAAATTTTCCAGGAGTTGAGTTCGTTAAGTTATAAACTCGAAAGATCAAAACTTAGTTTTCTTTTGAAAATACTCTTAACACGGAGAGGTGCGTTGTAATATAATGTAGATTTGGGCATGCCATAGTTTACTGTCAATGCACATGGTTATTTGGCGTACTTGTTTTGAAATTAGCAATTCATATTTGACATTCTTTAATTTTTGTAATAATCTATATGATTACAAATTTTTAAATCTCATTAATATCTGGTTGCGTCACGCAATTACTTGTTAATCAGATCGTTATGCCCATTACGACCTTTACACCCATTACAACAATTACAACTATTACGACTATTGCACCTATTACGACTATTACAAAACCATGGTGAGGCTTCTACTTAAAAAGGCTAAATGTTAAATATAGAAAAAATCTATGAAATAAAGATAGATGCTGTACTACGTCGAAGCGCGGTATTTCCGGAGGGTCAAATTAGCCCCTCGCACTGGTCATTTAGGCCGATTAGTGTGGTACACGACAATGAATAAATGCAAGGAATTGACCAAAATGGTCAGAACGGCAATGACATCCCAAAATTTTTATATGTAATAGAATTGCGCTAGTGACGAGTAAGGTTGGCCAATTACCCACCTGGGTGGGCTGGGCGGTCCTGCTCACATCAGGTATTATTATACTTTTCGTGTGTGATTATTTCTGGCGCTTTCGATTGTTCAAAACTTGGCGTTTATGCCATTCTCACGCCATACTTCCATTTGTGTTAAGTCCCATGCGATGAG